GCAGTGCTTATCAGAAACCAGTGTCACCAGAGCTCCCTTTTGGTCTGCAAAGAGAGCCCACACCAAGCCATTTGGGACAACTGGTCTTTCCCAAAGTACTAATCCTTGTCGCTGTTCTCTTGTGACAGGGGAGTATGATTAATGTACTTCTTTTTACATTTGCAAGTCACCTCTAAGTCTGTGGGGTAGAAATGCGGAGGTGCACCTTTCTGTCTCCGCCTTTGAAGACTGCAGGGAAGTTGGCAGAAGCCTGCCATCTCCTTCTGAACAGCAGTTCTTGTAAGAATGCTGAGAGGACTGAATGGGAGGAGAAGTTTATTGACCAACATTTATCCCTGACCCAGAAAATGAGCAATTTCTAGTGGTCATACTACATTGTCTTAAACGCAGTCCCTCTTACCTCCATGGTTTGATGGCTGCCTCACTCTGCCAGGCTGGGTGAGCTCGCAACTGAACAGTTTGCTTGGCCAGTAACACCTAAGGATGGAAGATTTTTAAAGGGGGAGCTCATGTCAGCCTGGGTGGGGGTCAGCTTAAGATAATTGAGTCTTAGTGTGTAAGCCTCTTTCTATTTGTTTTAAATAGTGAGTGAACATCAACACAAATAGGAGCCACTTCCATTCTCGTAGTTCAAAGCATATTCAGAGAGTTTATTACTGCTAATGAAAAACATTTCAGAGAAAGCAGAACCCAGGCTTCCAAGATTTGCACATATTGCATTATGAGATGCTCAAGCTTGTGTATGGTAAACAAGATTTAAAAATTCCTCTATGTGGTTGTACTTTGGACCCCAACAGACTTTGGCAGAAAATGTCTAACTATGCTTGGATTTATTCTATAAACTGGGATGGCTTCAGCAGTCTGTGTGGCCTTCCATTCAGCTGTTTGCTTAAGCCAAGCCAAAAGCCACTTATCTAAAAATTATTTATTCTCACTCTTGAGCTGGCAGAACCAGACTGGAAAGGGCAAAAGCTGAGTCGTAGTTCAAGCTGCGGACTTCAGTTAAATCATAAGGGGAGCATGAAGGACTGGCCGCAACATTGTTCTACAAGGTACTTGTGGTTCTCTTGTACTCTACTTGTCTTATACCTTTTTAAAATAAACAGCCTCAGATTTGTACTTTGCAGCTGTTTCTTTCTATCTGCCTGACATCTTCAAAATCAAAACCTTAATTCAAATATTATGATTTGGAGAGGATTCTCACTTTCTGGTTTTGCCAGTGTAAGTAAGATGGAGGCAGTTTTCTTTGTTTATCTCATTGAGAAAAATATGTGTTGTTTATATACTTTGAACATAGACATATTGTATAGTAAAAGGCAACAGTTGAAAAGTCCTAGCTAGAGATGTGAAAGTATGGCTGGAGGCTTAATTGTCAAAATTGAATCTGAAGAGAAAGAAAGTTTTAGCAATGTTTTAAATTGGCTTGATCTGTTAGATTAAAATAACCAAAAGAATTTTGCATTTGAGAACTCTTATTCTCTTTGGATACTTTGAGGATCTGATGTTCTTGTTGACATCTGATCATTGTGTTAGACTTCACTTAATGCAGAGCATGACTATGAGCATGGTTCTGGTAGCCAAGGTAAATGAGGCTGAAGGTTTAGTTTGAGCCATCCAAGAGCTGTGCTGTCCAGACAAGGAATGTGGGTTATGTGGTGGGCCAGAATGGCACTGCCAGGACCCTCATGCTGCTGTGGTGTGTGGCTCATGTGGGCACTTGCTGTGCAGGGCTGTTTTCCAGCATGAGTGGCCTCCTTCCACACCAGTGATTGAATGCAGTAGTAAAAATAGGGAGAGTCCCAAATGACTATGAGGTGAGGCTACTTCTTGTAATCTGCTTCTTCAGCAAGAATTACTTTGAATGAGTTAATACCAAAAGGGTTAAAGAACCATTGTGTATTTTGAATTTGAGTTGTCAAAGCAAATATTTTGATAGTCGGTCAGAAGTGGATGCTGAGTGGCATGCTGTGAAGAACATATGGCTCTGTCATGGAAAAAACTTGTTGAGGGATGGGGAACTGAGAGGAAGAATAAACAGCTAGTTTTCAGCCTTGCAAGGGCCAGGTTTGAGTTTCTGCTGAGCAAAAAACGGAGAAAAAAAAAAGCAGGGAGTGAGCAGAGTAAAGCTTTATGGAGCACAGTTATTTAGCACAGCCTGTAGCTGGAAAGGCTTCCATGTATAGCACAAACATATTGTTGGAGCCACATGAGAGATGGTTAGGTTCATTGGGAAAGCCATAGCGGGGAGGAGGTTGTTGGGAGGAAAAGGTTAATTATCTAAACATGACTGAGCTAGGACTTGTCTTCAGTGCTTCATCTGCAGTCTTTCCTTACTAAGTCTCAGAAAGAAATGCCTCTGCCCCTCCTCTGAGCTTGCCATCCTACTTTAAATATTTTTGTCTGTCTGATGAAAAAGGACTTGCAGATGAGTGGTGCTCTTCTTTGAGCATGTCTCTAGTGTGCAGAAAAACTTATGCAGAAGTTCTCCCAAGGTTGAGGATACCTTGGTATATGTATTGACTCTTGGTGTTTCGCACCAGAATAAAGTACTCATTGGCTAGGAAAAGCCAAACCAAGGTATTTCCAATTGAATTGCTGTTCTCAATGACATCTACTACTTCACTTTTAGATGCTGTAAAGTGTCCTTTAGTTGCACAACAGTGAAGCGAACTCCTGAGATTTGGCGTGACCTTCATGTCAGCTTTAGACAGGCTGTTTTTGTTCATGCAGTGACTTTTCTGGAGATACTGTCATATAATTTTGCTGCAATTTATTGCGCTTACATTTCAGTGGGGAAAGAACCCCATGATTTGGTCTTTTCTTCTAGTATAGCATTCCATGTTTGTTATCAGTGATATTTTTTTATGGCTGCCAGTGTTCATCTAGAATATCCACCTACCTAAGTAAATATGAACTTTGTTTTCATCTGTGTTCAATAAAGGGTGTTTTATAGCTAGCAGTACAGAGTCAACAGTAACAGCCATTATGGGTGTTCAGCTCTGATGTCCCTTCCACCTCACTGAAAATCCTGGAATTACAAAGATGAGGAGTTCATATGGGCATAGTTCTTGCAGAGAAATACAGATTTTAGAGCTTTCTGGAGCATATTTTAAAAAAATAAAAGCATTTTCAATTAAATTCTCTCTAATCATGCAGATGACATCAGAAGAATATTGGTTTGTAGTGGACATTTTCTACATTCTAGTCATTATTTTAAGTGGAAATACTGAGCAAATTAACTTTCTTTGGCAGGCTGACACTTCAGCTCTCTGTTATTATAATGGGTGTATTCAAGTAATTAGCATGTCAGGTTGCTTGAAAATTTAATGCCCCCCCCCCCCCCCCCCAAATGTAAAATTAGCAGAAGTGCTCACTATGTCTAAAGGCCCTTTTTTAAGGCAGTGCCATAACACTGAACTACAGGAGACAAATTCTGTTGTTGGCACATCAGCTTTAAGCCTCTTTTACCAAAGGAATCTGCAGATTAGACAATTCACTACAACTAGTACGAAGGGAGTAGAAATTTCTGGATGAAATCTTGCAGATGATTCACTATATCTAATATAGAAGGGAGTTGAAATTTCTGGATGAAATTCTGAATGTGTGAAGCTGCATGTGTATGCTTCATTTTACATTCAGTGGGACTAATATTTAACCACCTGACTCAGAACTCCTAAGAAATTAAATACCAACGTCATGACAAACCTAAAAAAAAAATATTGAAGATGCCTGTTTTTCTGGCATCTGGTGACTGAAGCAGCACAGCAGTGAGGTCCGGATCTGGTTCTTTACTCTTGCCTCCAGTTCAACGTCAGTATTTGGGGTTTGGTGAAGAAAACTTCAAAGTGCTACATTCTCATCCTGGAGGGGGTAACATGAGGGCATTTCCTGCTCCCACCCTTGCTTTCAGGCAACACTGTTTCAGTTCAAGAGCAGAGGCGTGTGGGATGACCTGTTTGTTATTTTGAGGCTGATATTTGGATAGGACTTGGAAGTATAGTGATCTCTGCCTCTTGTGCTAAGATAAGTGTAACTCTGGGAATGTCATCAGCCACTGTTGAAAGGCTGTGTAATGGCTTGGGGAAAGCCCTGGGGAACATTTTGCTGCAGTTGCAGCCTACACAGGGCTGTGGAGGAGGGGAATTGAGGGGAGTTGGGAGGCTCACCGCTGGCTGGCAACCCCTGTGACTGGCACTTTTGGCCCCTTGGCAGTGACTGGGGCGCTTTTCCATAGATTCCTGTTCACAATGGCGTGAGTCACCAGAGGGTGCCAGTGGTGGCAGCAGTTCAAGATGAGGTGTGTGACTTACCTGCAGGCAGATTGTTTTCCTGAAACACTGGTGCAAACCTTGATCCCAGACCCAGGGAGGCGCCACTCCTTGCAAAATCCAGGCTTCAAAGGGGTCACCACATCACAGGGTGAGCTGTCTGCTGCTGTAATCTTGTTCACCTCTTCTTGAGGCGGGGCTGGCTCAGCTGCAGTCAGCAGAAACCCGGAAGGTTGGAACAAGGTTCCTTCATTGCCCCTTGCACCTAGGTGCCCATAGCTTGTGGAGCTGTGCTCAGCCTCGGTCCCAAAGTCGGGCTGTGATGCCTCCCCAAAGTGAAGGCAGGAGCTGCACATCTGTGAAAATGCTTAAACGTGTCCAAACATTTTGCTGGGTGACCGCCAGCACCTTTGGTAATTTGGACCAGAAGATGATGGGGGTGTGGAGGTAGAAGTGGGTGGGACCACTGGGTGTTGCTGAGACCTTTGCTTGCAGTGTTTGACAAACACCCACCATGGGATAGGGCACAGCAGATACTGTAAGTATTGGCAGCAGTGGGAGGGAGATTAATTACTCCTTCGCAACAAATCAGGGAGGTTTCCAGCAGGCTCTGTTTGACTAGCCCTTGTTAGAGCTTTGTATGTTGATGTGAATCTGTGCCAGATCTTGGTTTGTTGTGGGGGTGGAAATGACTTATTTCTCACTGCTGATGTGTTTTCTCTTTTCTTGTAGGTGTATGATGTCAAACAGTGGGCAGTCCTTGTAGCCTCCCCCACCAGCCTGCAGTGTCATGTGCCAGTATGAATGTTAAGGAAGAAACGCGTGCTTCAGAGCTCAGCATCCCAGAAAGAAAAAAGGAGGAACTAAACAGAGAGAGCGAATGATTGCACTGCTTGCAAGACTTGAGGCTGCTCACTTCTCCTGAGAAACTTCATCTTGGCCTTTGTGAGAGAGTTGGAAAAGTAGTCAGAGCAGCCACAGTGATATTCTTAGAGTCCTTTTCCTTTTTTAATTTAATTTTTTCTGCCTCGTGTCTGGATTTTAAGTGTGCTGCACTGATCACAAGCACTGGACATCAATATGTGTCATGTCATTGTAACGTGTCGGTCGATGCTATGGACTCTCCTGAGTATCGTGGTGGCTTTTGCAGAGCTCATTGCCTTCATGAGTGCAGACTGGCTGATTGGCAAAGCAAAGCCTTCCAGCTCCGAGGAGGTGGACAACAGAATGGGGGGACAGCAGGAGCCCTACCGTCCAACGCTGGGCATCTACGGGCGCTGCACCAGGATCTCCCACATGCAGGTCTCCAGACGAGACACGCTTTGTGGTCCTTACGCTGAAAACTTCAGTGAGATTGCCAGTGGGTTCTGGCAGGCAACCGCTATTTTCCTAGCCATGGGAATCATGATTCTCTGCACCGTGGCATTTGTGTCTGTCTTTACTATGTGCGTGCAGAGTATTATGAAGAAAAGCATTTTTAATGTCTGTGGGCTGCTACAAGGGATTGCAGGTATGTGCACTTTGAGAGCAACTAAACTTTTAATTTTGGGGTGATTCAGATGAAGAAACTTAGCAATTCTGGCCTGCCTGCAGACAGACTGCATTAGGCAGACCCAAAGTGATTCTATATGCTGGTGTTTATTCAAACATAACTGAAATTTATAGCTACACAGCATGTAATACATTGACATTGGCAGCAGAGTTGCAGCGTAATGTGTGCCAGAATGAACTGACCAGTATTCTTTTGTTTGCTGTTCATTTTTTTCCCCTCTGTTTGAATTTCTTTCAGTTACAAAAACTTCTGTCCTTTGCTACCAGCAGAGAACAAAGTTAATACTCATATTAAGGCAGTCTATCTCCCTCTTGCTACTTTAGTAATTTTTCCATGGACTGAAGGCAGTTTCCTTAGTGTCTCAAAGGCTTCATGACTGTGGTGAGAGTAAAAAGCACCTTAGGGCTAAGAACTGGTAGTAGCCGCACACCCAGTTCCTCCAGCATTTCATGTGAAGCAGCCTCCTTCTAAGCTGTGAGCCTGACAAGTGATACCTTGAGATAAACCTTTCCTTTAGCCACCTTATTGTTCAGCTGCATTTACACAGCCCAGTGAGGTTGTCTTTTTACTGTTCAAGGATCAGCTGTGCTTTGCCTGAAAAGACGAATTTGTTCTAGAGATCAGGTGTTTCTGCTTAAGCCCATAGATTTTACAGAGACTAAATGACTGTTAGTAAACCAACCCTGGACAGCCTTAGTTAGAGAAGTATTCATTTTTCTGTAGTTGCCACTGATCCCTGGGAAAACCTGTCTCATCTTTTGTGCTCTCTGTGTGTGTGGTCATCTGGAGGAGGAGAATGGTCATCAGCCCTGCCTCTGGCAGCCCCCAGAGATCTGTGAAGAGGGAGGGAATGAGCAGGACCCCCTCCTTTTTTTATCTCAGTGGGGCTCTTAAGCAGATGTTTTCAATTCACAAAATTATTTAATCACAACAAAAAATTAGGTTTTAACTTGTTTTGCTTGAAATGTGAATCCAGCTTTCCCCCTTCTCACCTCCACTGAGGTGGCCAAACATGTCTGTGGTGGCTACACCTAAACAGGAGATGTAATGATAGGCATTCAGACCTTTATCTGAAGCTGGATGGTTTCATTTGCTTAGTTGAGACCTAACATAATCTTATTCTAAATACACATGGGGAAGTAGGTGAAGACTGACTTTACTGCCTGCTGCAACCCTCCAAAGCCAGCATTACATGCCAGGGACTGGCTGATGCTGCCTCCTGAATCACTACCACAGTGTCTCTCACTCTTGACTACTTCATTCATCTTCAGTATGGAAGAATAATGCATATTTCATGTCACTCACAATGTAAGGTTTGTGCTTCTGGAGCAGAATTATATCCCTAGATTGGCCTAAAGATGCTTCTGTTCATATGATGGCATACGATTAGCATTTCAGGTCCCTCAGATGGACATCACAGGTTTTGCTGTAGTCAGTCCTGGTGTACAGAATTTGCCCCAGGCAGTGTGACAAGGAAGCTGCTTGGCAGTGCAGATTAAACCAGTGGAAATAGTTTCCTTTCTTATTCTATACTTCAGAATAATCCATGACTGTTTTTCCAGCAGATGCAATTATTACTTGTTTTCTTTCAGAGGGGCATTTTTACGGGAGAGATTGGTTAGCAGCATAAAGAGATCTTTGGCATGTCAGATTTGGGTCTTTTGAAAAGATAACTTTACTTACAACTCTGATACCATCTCAAAATACCTAGTCTGTCACGTAGGATTAGCAAGGAAAAGATACTTTTATTTTAGAGTAGGGTTTGGAGACCCTGCATTTGTGAGAAAATGCATGCTAAGACAGTTTAATGTTTTATTATCAATCCAGCTGTAACCAGAATAGGATTTGCAGCCTAAAACATTGAACAGTACAGTTGACAAAGCATTTTGTATGTGTTAGGGCATAGATCAGTCCTTCTCAAGCTGTACTGAGCATAGAAGCACTTCTCTTCTTAAAATTCAGATAAATGACACAGCATGAAACTGGGTAAGAGAAAGGTCACCTTACTGAAACGTTGCTGCCAGTATTTACAGCCAGGCATCTTGTGGCTCACAGCTTGTTTTCTCAAGATTAATTTTAGTGGGTCCACTGCTACTTTTGTTCCAGGAGTATTACAGCATCTGCTTACTTAGTTGCAATTATTTTCGTTTTGACTAATGGTGGCTGCTAATTTAAACTTTGTCAGCTCCTGAGTTTTGAAAAATGTTTTTTTTTTTTTTTTAAGCAAGTTGCTCAAGAGAGGCAGTTGTCAGCATGGCTAATTCAGACAGGCATTATGATAGATCAACTAATGTCCTGACCAGAGAGCAAGTATAACCCTGCCTTAATAATTTTAAGCATAGCATAATTCTTTCTAATGTGAACAATTATGGCTTAAGTAAGTGTACAAGAAGAATTCACAAAATAATTTTGTTAATCAGCCTATATCACTACAATATTTGCAAGTATGTCAAACATCTCCTTTTTAAACATGAGATGCACACATGGTAGAGTCATCTACAGGAACTCAGGATCTTGCAGACTTAATCTCCCTTAAAATCTCTATATCTTTGTAGTAGAGATTTAATATAATTAAAAACATACAACAACTTAATTTATTCCTGGAATTCATCATGACTAAAACAATAATAGACACCGGATATATCTTTCCAGTCTAGCAAGATTAGTTGTGGATGATGCCTATGGTGAAATTACAGAACAGAAAGCAACATCTTTTCTGTTATGGCCCTTGGACAAATGTGCAAACTGTCATTTAGATCAATAGGAGGAAGCCATACAAGTATCTTAACCATATCAGGGATTCTTTTATTATTTTTGTGGCAGAAAATGAGAAATACAAGGCCATAAAGGAAGAAAATATGGTTGTTGTTGTTTAAACTCCTGTAATTCCTTTGTTATGGAGCAAGAACTTCTACCACTTTACTTTCAGACTGCAATGCCTTTTATTCTGCAGCTGTAGAAACAGTAATCAATAGCCCTGGTTTTGTAGATGTTTGAAGATTGTTTCATCTGGATAAGTACGTTTTCTCTGCATTAGAGAGTGCAGAGAATGGAGACATGTAATTGAATAGATAATTACTATCCAGCAGCAGGAAGACCAGGCAGACTTTCATTTGTATGTCTTTTTAGGGAAAGTGTTCTACTTTTAGTTTATGAATCACTTGAAATGCAGAGGCTGGAGGAGAAAGGATATTACATTCTAGTGGACAAGAATCAATTCAAAGTAAATTTTCACAGTAATCATGTAGCTATAGGAAGTAAATAATTGGTGATCTGGTACTGACATATATTGGTAAGTCTGTAGTGTAATTGCCTATGTATTTACAAGTTTTATTTGGGCTTGTGTACTTCACTTTGTTGCTAAGTAATATAATATAAACATAACCTAGCCTCAAAGGAGGGTGGGGAGAGCTTAGGACAGAGCCTAAACCAAGTTTGGCTTTTATCTCTGATAGTTTCCTTTATGAAGTTCATAATCAGCAACTTGGCTTCCTTTTTTGGTCTCTGCCATGGCTGGGCAGACACAACCTCTTCCCCAGAGCCAGTGTCTGCCTGACTTGCAGCTGAGCCGCAATGCACCAGCAGCACCCTGACTGCACACTAGGGGGGAAGCTAAATTAGCTGCACCAACATTATATCAGCCACAGAACTTGAGCAAGCCTCTGTGGTTTTTTGTGGGGAGCTCGACATCATGTGCCTGCAAAGGCTTTGGGGAGAGCAGTGGGGAAATGGAGCTGACACATCAGGAAGGCTAATGGGTTTGGGAGTTCAGTTTCTTTTACTTCTGTTTTACTGTGCTGGAGCAGGGCTGCCTTGCCAGGAACATTTACCAAAAGAAGATAAAATAGTTTCTCTTCTCTAAAATCTTTCCAGGATGCTGATGGCTTCATCTGGAAGGCCCCTCATGAGTCACCCCCTTCTCGTCTCTTCTTCTGTTCACAGTCCACTAGCTGAAATGGGGCTTGACAGAAGCATGTAAAAATTGGGATGCATTTGTCAGAAGACATGCTGTGTCCCAGGTGCACACCAAGGAGTGTCTCTGGTTTTTTCAGGTGAATATATGGCTGCATTTTGCTGCCTGTGCCACTGGCATCTTTAACAGGTAGATGTCCAGTCAGCCAAAGCAGAGGTTTGTGTTTTCAAAGGCTGCTGCAGGCAGGTCAGAGAGGATTAAGTTCCCTTGGATGCTTTGTTGAAAACATCAGGAAAACATCAGTTGAAAACATCAGAAAAAAACCAGTTGCTCTGTCTGGGCCCAGATGCTGCAGCTTTGGGCCTCTCTCTGCCACCCCAGAAGTTTCTTCTTTTCCAGGGTCTGAGAGGTTTGTTTTTCCCCCTGACTGTCACCCTGCTCAGTCCCAAGCAATGATAGCTCTTCCACAGTACTTTCTCTTCTCAGGTGTCTCAAGAGCTCTATTGCATTCTTTCTTCTGACCTTTTCATGATTTTTCTCTATGACTGTCCGTGTCTTCTCCTTTTCCCTTCTTGGTATCTTGGAGAGTTCCTCCATCAGGAGCTGCTGCAGGACCTTGGCAACAGTTCAGTTCCAGGAGTACAACTTTACCCTCAAATGCAAAGAAACTTCTCTGCAGCTTTCTAAAATGAGGAGGTGAAATTCAGTTTCAAACCAGCTGTGTGCATAAGTCTGTCTTCACTGCTGAAAGAGTTTGTTTTACATCTCTTGAGCTGAGAAATTGTTCAGCCTGTTATACTTACTTGGCGTCGTTTCCATTGTGGGAGGGTGGGTGATTAGGAAGGTGGCCTGAGCAGAGTTGTGATAGGAACCATCTGAAGGGGATGAGGATCTGGAGCTGCTTGTGGGGGTGGGAGAAGTGGGATGCAGTCACAGAGGGTGAGCTCATGGTGGGTGCAGCCATGCGACTGCAGACTCCTGGCTGCTGGAAGTTGAGGAGGCTGGTGGGAGTTGTGGAGGAGGAAGCTGGGGAGGAAGTGGGAGG